ATCTTTCTTGCGATCAAGTATATCCTTACTCACATCTAAATTTAAGAATATTACTAGATTGATGATAGTAAAAAATATATTTAATTTTACTTCGGACTTCATCTCAATGCTTTCGATTCTATTTCTATCATACCATTGGATTAGACTTGTCTATACAGTCGTGGCCAACTAGTTCTTGCAAAAATGTGAGCGTTTAGTTAACCACAAGTCTACTTAAAAGAAAGTAGGTCTGTTGTGAGCATAAATGTTTTTGAGACATAAGATTAGCCCTTGATTTCTTATGTACCTTTCAATTACTTATGAAATAGTAATCTTGTATGAGTAAGCCCTTTTCTGCATTCGAATGGAGTAGGGTTTCCAAACTCTCAGTAGATCAAGAATAAGAGTTATAATCGTCCAAGTTAGCTCAAGTTAATGAAGGACTGATAGTGAATTTTCTCAAAATGCGATTCTACTATGCTTCCAAAAGGTATTCTAACCAAACATAGACGGCAGTTTCAATCTTACTTAGATCTCATCACTACCCACGGTGAAAATCGGACCTGGCCAATGAAGTAAGTATAATTTTGACATGTTACCCCAACGCCAGATTGACACTAGTGTCATTCGGTCACAGGGTTGAAGAAATTTCAGAGCAAGCTAGTCTTTTCCCATATTAAATTTTATAGTGAGATTGTCGCTGAATAAAACATACATTTGTCGTTATATTTGAAAACATCACGTGTATTCGAAATGAGTAGGATTTCTGGACTATTAAAATCTCATTCAAGATCTATTGATAGTTTGGAATTCGTATTCATCCAGAATGCAAGCAAATTTGTCTACTGTACTGGCAAATACATATTTGCTTCAGCGATAGTCTCACCTATGCTCTGTGGCAGTGTGGTGCAGCGGTAACTTGTCGGAAATATACTCATTCCACCAACTGGGTTCGAGTCCTGTTGGGGTTACTGATCAGACAGACGTGAACGAGATCAAAATTGTAGTCCAGTCCGGATTAGAATTCCTTTTGGAGGCGTGGCAAAATAGCATCGTGAGATCTACTCTTTTCAATAGGGTCAAATTCACTATTTCTCTTCATCACTTATAGCAAGCAGCATATGGTGACAAATCTCTTGTTTTTCCTGCATGCTTCAGTTTGCACTTTGCGGTCATAATGAAAGGAATTCTAGAATGAAGGGGGCCAAGAGTCAGGGTAAGTGGTTAAAGACACAGAAATTGAGCCTAACCTCGTCTATGGTTGAACTGACGGCCACCTCCTCAAGGTCAATACCGAAAGCTCGACATGGCGGTATGACTATATGCCTTCGGAGACCGACCCGAGGAGAGGTGGGCAGAAGACCCGAGGCAAAGCTGGCTACGGTGATCCTGAAAGTTGAAACAACCGCAGTCAATGGGCTGCCGAAAACCGGATAACCACAAGCACCGGATTCTGGCATGAAAGAAGTGGCCTCAACACCAGAGCATCTGGGCGCCTTCACTTGACAGTCACCATGACAACTGTGAAACGAGCAGCCAACAAGGTGATTCAGATCATAATGCCCTCCATGCACTTCTCGGCTGCCACCTGTGCCAGAAGAGATGTTAGTTGCTGAAAGTGAATGACCACCACTGCCAAAGCAACAGCTTGCATGACCTCCTTCGCCGATACCGTTGACCTGGCAACCAGATAGTCCTAGCATATCAACGTTAGCACAACACGGCAAGCCGGTGTAATGTGGAGAATGATTGCAATGACGTAGCCTACCGGTCCTGCCTCCATGACCACAGCAGGTCCGGCAGTTGGGCGAAAGATCCTCTTGAGGAGTTGTGTAGCTGCGGAGAATTTGCACTCCAACGATTGCTTCCTCTGGTCCGAGCTCGACCCTCCCACTAAGAGTTGTCCGAATAGGAGAAGGCAAATGTTTTCATAGTTTTGTCGGTTTTGTACAGTAAACTTATTATTGCAGGAAATTTTATCTATTCAATCCTGGGAAACTTGGTGTAAATGGAGTCTCAGAGAAAGTTTATCATCTCTACTAATATGGAATGTACGGATAAGGGATTCGGATAATAGCTTTAATTAACTACAACCCATGAATCCACTTTGCCTATATGAAAAACACTTTAGCAGCGACAAATTTTACAGTATAACATCATTCAATTCACATATGTTTAAGAAGAAAAGTTGTTTTTCGATAAAACTCTTCCGACTTAACTGGTGAGCTGACTTGTGTTTCAAGTGAGTCTGTGGGATGAAGCTATTCGATCTCATCAAAAGACGCGAAATATTCATTTTAGTCAGCTGTAATTTTACATGACTGGAACGTTCTGGTAATTCACAATCTTCTTTGCCTTTTGTGAGAATTTTTTACTTACAAGACTGACATTCCTAAAGCTATTTCGTGCTAAAATGTCATGCAAACACATCCTCTTCATTCATTGGCTCAAAGAAGTTGCAAGAATGACGTTTAGCTATACTGATACTAGTCAAGTTATATGAGAGATTCAAGTCTTGCACTTCTTAATTGTATCTGAAGCAGATTGTATTTGTGACTGCTACAACCAGAACGAACCAATAAATTCAAACGAAATCTGGCTATGAGGAATCCTTCGTCATCTTCTGGGGATATTTCTATATGCATATTTCTATGACTCTATTTTACGTGAAATGGTTGCGAGCTTAAAAATACCTTGCAGCAGACAATTTGGGAGAAGCACGGCAGCTTCACGAAATAACGTATGCAATTACTCATGGTAATCTTTCACACAAAAGACTACGAATCAGTCTTGTCTTGGAGAGATGACTAAGGTTACCTTGGACACTGCTGGACCGTTTTCAGTGGCATTCAATACATGCGAAGAAAAGTTGGGTTTCGAGGAATCTCTTGTTTCATAATTGTTGAATTACTTCCATTTCGAGTAGAAGTGTTGGGTGAAGAGATTCGAAGGTCGGTTTCACCAGAAGACGACGGCGGATACTTCCATTTCGAGTGAAAGTGTTGGGTGAAGAGATTCGAAGGTCGGTTCCACCAGAAGACGACG